CTTTCTCCCATGATTGTTCTCTCCAAGGAGTGTATCTACTTGAGGTAAATGTTCAACTCATATGCCTGTCTTTTGTTTGGCTGGAAACCACAGATGTGGGTTCAATTCCAGGCCTGATTATTAATGCGTTTGCAGCTGTTTTATCCCCATTTTGAGTTATGCTTCATCAGCAGATGATGGAGCTTTACTCCATCCATGTCATTAAGGTTGATTCTACTTTGGGAATCAGCTCTTCCCCAGTCATATTTTGAATTCCTTCCAACCTCATCTTCTGGCACTATATCAGACAATGTTTCATTGCTATTCATAAAGTTTTCCAGTAATATTTCAGAGAGTGGTTCACTGTATTCATAAAGTTTTCAGTGGCCAATGTTAACAGAAGTGGATGGTCCCATCCTTCTTCCTAGTCTGTCTTAGTCTGGAAACTCTGCTGAAACCTGTCCATCTGGGTAACTCTGCTGGTATTTTAAATACCTGTGGCATAGCTTCCAGCCTCACAGTAACACACCAGCCACCACAGTACCACAAACTGACAGATGAGTGGTGGAATCATAATATTTACCATCTATTAAATGCTTAATACAAGTGTGTGTGTGTGTGTGAGAGAGAGAGAGAGAGAGAGAGAGAGAGAGATCTTACTTGATTAATTCAGCACAGTCACCTATTTACGTCAGCCTCAAACCCCACTGGACCTCACTGATTTCACTTGGTGCATTTTCTTGGTTCTCAGAACCACCATCTGGAAAGCTCACCTCTTTATCAACCTATCAGAGTTTTATCCAGGTCCAATGCATCTCTTCATATAACCTTCCTTCACCAGCTCAGGGAACACAGCCTCCCTTCTGTCTGGGGTCCTCAGCATTTTATTTGGATTTCTCATATAATTTTTCCACCTGTCTTGGTTTTATAGTTACATGAGTAGCAATTTGACCTCATTTGTAAATTAATTGGAAGCACAGGATACCTAATAGTCAACAATATATTCTGTAAACACTTATGACAGTATCTTAAACATAGTAGATTAATAGGATATTTATTAAATTATACTTAAAAATAAATAGTAGATGAACACAAAGAAGGGAAGAAATAGAAAAGAAAGGTAGGTCAAAGTGATGGTGATGTGTCCTTGCAGCCTGCTCAGGTTTTAAAGACTATCTCTTACTCTCAGTACTATTCCCACCTCCTCCTTGCCTTTTAAGTGAATAATAATATTTTAGTAATTTATTTACTTGGAAAATTTCAGCATATTGCCTAATATACAGGACCATGGAAGTCAAATGCAAATTTGTGTTTCTGCCTCAGGTCCTTTTTTAGATTATTGCATCTGCTGGGATATAGGTGTCCTCAGGCAGATTTTAGTGGAACTCAGAGTAACTATGAATGTTTGCTGGCTTGAGTTTCCCTAAACTTTTTTAAAATAAAAATAACACTTGAATATAATTCTAAAAAATTCAAATAGCTAGAAGACTCATAGTGAAAAGGGACAGTTTCTGTTATATTCCTCTTCAAACCTGACCTTCTTCATGAAGGAAATTTGATTAACCATTTTTGTATTTTATTCTCTTAGTAATTATCTCTAAATAATTTTCTTAGGTGTCTATTTCTTGAATTTGTCAACCTTAAAAATAATCAATTAACTTTCTACTATAATATCTACATATACTACAAAGAAAACCTATAAATTATCATTTTGAATAAAAATTTTGTTTTCTGTTTTTCTAGCCAGTATTTTAGCCCCTCTCTGACCTCCGTTTTATTTAAATAGGGAAAGGAAAGAAAAGACAAAATTATTTTAAGTCTTATTATGCAGAAAACTAAATAAATATATAGTTATATAAATTTTAGACAAATTGTAATCTACTTTTAGAAAAACCTATTAGGTCAATTTGCTATTCTTACAGAACTACAGTTTCTAGAAATACTGAAAAAGGTAAAAGTATCAGTGGCTGTCTTAAAGTCATAATTTTTAGGTTAGTTAAAAAGTATAATGTGATAATTTCACAACTCTTATTTTCTTACAAAATTCAACTCCTTAGGCATAGCAAAGCAACAAAAGAAATAACAAGGATTGCAAAATGTTCTCAGAAAAGAAAAAAATACAAATTGAAAATGTATTAATGTAGTTGATGAAAAATTCACCAAAAAGAGTCTTTGGCTTGTGGGTACACTGATGTCTCTCTATTTTCCCTACAGAATGGATGACATACTGATTGGGGCACCTCTCTTCATGGAACGTGAATTTGAGAGTAATCCTAAAGAAGTAGGGCAAGTTTACCTGTATTTGCAAGCAAGCGCTCTCGCCTTCAGAGACCCTCAGGTCCTCTCAGGCACTGAGGTTTTTGGGCGATTTGGTAGTGCTGTTGCACACTTAGGAGACCTGAACCAGGATGGATATAATGGTAACTTGAATAAACATGTAGAAATTGTGTATGGGTCATAATTGCACGTTACTGTTGCATGAAGGAAAAGATGATGCTTTTCAGTATTCACAGTGGTGTATGAAGTACAGTTATTATTATTGGTTTTGAAGTGATTGATTTTTAATGAACTATCAGAAATCTCCAACCAAACCCACTTCCATCAAGACGATTTCAACTCATAGCGACCCTAGAAGAACAGAGTAGAACTTTCCCATAGGGTTACCAAGGCTATAAATCTTTATTGAAGCAGACTGCCACATCTTCTCCCATGGAATGGCTGGTGAGTTTGAACCACTGACCTTTTGGTTAGCAGCTGAGCACTTTAACCACTATGCCACCAGGATCCTTATGCATATGAGAGCTGGGCAATAAAGAAGAGCACAGAAGAAGTGATGCATTTGAATTGTGGTGCTGGCAAAGAATATTGAATGTACCATGGATTGCTATAAGAATGAATGAATCTGTCTTGGAAGAAGTACAGCTGGAATGCTCCTTAGAAGTGAGAATGGCCAGATGTCATCTCTCATACTTCAGTCATGTTGCCAGAAGGGATCAGTCCCTGGAGAAGAATATCATGCTTTGTAAAGTTAGAGGGTCAGCACAAAAGGGGAAGACCCTCAACAAGATGGATTACACAGTGGCTATGATGATGAGCTCAAGCATGGCAATGATTGTGAGCATGGCACAGCACCAAGCAGTGTCTCGTTCTGTTGTACATGAGGTCACTATGAGTCAGAACCCGCTTGATGGCACTTAACAACAATATCAAAAATCTCAAGGCAATTTGAAGTTTGGATGTTTGGATGTGTGTGAATGTTACATGAAATTGCATCATGTTCAATTTAGGGTGTCTTATAACAGATCAGAACCAAAGGCAGCAATTATTTTAAAAATTGGTGTGTGGATTAAATGACTTGAAAAGAACTAGAAAATCTGCTCTATGTATAGAAACAAGGCAAATTAATACATGATTAATATATCAGCAAGTATATCATCACCTGATTAACCTATGTGGATTATGTATAGGTTATGCTGAATTTTAATTGACTTGTAAATTTCAACTTGAAAGCAATTTCAATGTTTGCAACAAATTAGGCTAAATTGTTAGTTTAGGGTTGTGGTTCTTTAATTTAGAAATTTATGAATGCCTTCTGAGTACCCTGTCCTGAGAAAAAGAGGCAAGCTCACACAAAATGGTGCATTCATGTTAGGGCCTTTAAGCTAAGAATTTAGTTATGGTGGGCTTCTTGATTGAGTAAGGAAGTAATAGGAACTTATGGTAACCAAGTGGCCTCAGGAGTACTCACATCAAATCAGTGTTCATAGTGTTTTGGCAAGTATTACCTGCCTTTGTGACATCTTTGAAAGAGCAAGTACCAGCAATGTACAATTAGCAATTTTTAAAGTACCATGAAATATCAGTGCATATTAAAAGCTCATTGTTCCAGGAAAATAATAATAATAAAGACAAGTTCACCTTTAACTGATTTGCTATTTTTAAAATTTCAAAAACTACTCTATTCCCATTCTTTAATTTATAATAGCAAAGAGTACCCAAGGCAATTAAATGAAAATAAGTTACCTATGGAGTAGTCTTTTTTTTTTTTTTTTCCCAAATCATATTTTCTTCTCTCTCAAACACTTTCAGAATTATATTTTTAAGAGTTAAAAAAACATTTTTAACATTAAAGGGGGTTCTTATCCTCTTTGGGAGATCTGGTAGCACAATGCCTAAGGCATCTGACTGCTAACCACAAGGCTGGTGGTTCAAACCCACCAGCCACTCCATGGAAGCAAGATGGGCAATCTACTTCTGTAAAGATTTACTGCCTCGGAAACCCAGTGGGGGTCGCTATGTGTCAGAATTGACTCATGGCAGTGGATTTCGGTTTGTTTTGGTATCCTCTTTGAATCTTGCTTTCCTTCAATATAATATGGAGGAAAGAAATGCCAAACTCCCCAGGATTAAACATGGGAACAGACGTAAAGCAACTGACCTAGAGCAAGTGAGGAAAAGGCCCCTTTACCATGTGATGACATACTTATTTTCTACAAAAATCTTGTCTTTTAGATCATTTACTTTTACCTGTTAAAGGGAAGTGGAGTGATAATGCTCATAATAAATTAGTCACAACTTTTTCAGTCTTACCCAGGTTAACAGAATGTAGAAGATGAATAACAAATGAGGACACATACTGGAATCCGTCATGGTGCATTGTGACTGCCATATTATTGAAACTCAGAAGACTCTTAAATCAAACAAAATGTGTAAAAGGAACTTTCACTCAGTGATATACAAAGTGGGAGTCTGACCACCTAATGTGAAATAACAATCCAACCACTCTCCATTGTGTCACTGTTTTTTGAATTCTCTGCATAGTATTTATTACTTTTTGGTATTTTCTGGATTTTTTTTAATTCAAATTGTCTGTTACCTGCACTAGAATATGTTGTTGTTGTTGTTGTTGTTGTTATGTGCCGTCGAGTCGGCCCCGACTCATAGCAACCCCTCCTTGGGTTTCCAAGGCAGTATCACTACGGAAGTAGGATTGCCCAACCTTCCTTCCGAGGAGTTGCTGGTGGGCTTGAACTGCCAGCCATCTGGTTAGCAGGCAAGTGTCTTAGCCACTATGCTACCAGAGCTCTTAAAAACAAGGGTCTTGAGAGTTCCTGTAAGATGGTAGAATAGGCAGATAAATTACACAGACCTTCTTCAACAAAGAAAAGAGGAACCAATTAATACAGATATAGAAGATAATCCTGGAGCCCTGAGCTTTGCAAGTAAGGATACAGAAATGGACTAAACTCCAACTAGTAGAAAAACTTGCATGAAAACCGGGGAAAAGGAGACATACAGAGCTGCATACTATCAGCGATCCTGACAGCATGGACAGTTTGGATATTGCCAAGTGGTGTTATAACCTAAGAATTAACCTAAAAATCAGCCCTGCTAGCCAGGGGCTGCATGGAGGACTGCACTGGTGGCTGGTGAATGAAAGGGGAAACAGTGAAGAAAGAGACAAATTAAGCTGTGGACTTTTGGCTGTGTGGAGTGTGCAACCATTTTGCATGTTTACAAGTAGTTCAACCATTTTGGATATTTAAAATGACAGTGTTCTCTCAGATTCCAGAGACCTAAGAATAGGCTCTACTTGCTGGGGACAGCAAGGACATACTGGACACTGAGGACTGGAAAGGTGTGGTATTCCCCTTGTTACCCTTATACCCCAGACCCTCTTGGTGAACAGAGATGTGGCCATACCTCACTCCCACACATGTTCTGAGCCAGCAGGAATTCCATCCCAGTCTTTGTGCTCTGATGGAGTCTTGGTGCACTACTCTGCCCCACTCAGATTTTTTTTCCCTTAGTTTTTGTCTGTTTTTACATTTATTTTGCATTCTTCTTCTTATTATTATTCTTTCTTGTTCCCTTCTCAGGTTCTAGTTTTTGGCTTTTTCTCTCTTCTCTTTTCCTGGTTCCCATTTTTTTCTTTCTTAAAGTTCTCCTCATTTCTTATTTTTCTTTTTGAATTTTTCCCATTTTTTTCTTCATTATTATCCTACCCTACCTCTTTTCTCTTATTCCCCCCTCCACAGATGTTGTGGGTCCTCCCTTTTTTCTATTCATGCTTCTTTTGGCTTTTTAAGTATTCCTCTAAATGTTTTCTCTCATGTATTGCCTTTCCTCTTTCTTTTTTCTCTTTTTGGTGATCATTCCTGTGTGTTTCTGAGACGTTCATTTTTTGTCCTCTTGCTTTTACTTTTTTGATGGTTTTTTGATCATTGTTTTTGTCTAACTGAGTGGGAGACAGCATCCATGCCCATAAGACCCAACCACACCCACACCTCCTGCATCTCCACTTACTGAGTGAGGGCCACCAGCTCCTTCTGCACCAACTGGCCAATGATAAACAGCCACCTATAAGAGCCTGACTCACCCTTAACTGCTCTCCTCAGTTAACAGAGATCTGTGCAGCCACTCTCATTCTCTACCACACCCACCAGGAGACAGGTGAGGAGTATATAAGTGCTGCCAACTACCAAATGAAGGAGCACAGTACTCAGATACATCCAAAGAAAATGAAATGAAAATCTTTGATGAATCACTTCAACATACAATCACCAATTAAATATCAATACAACAAAGTCACAATATCTCAGAGACAACAGACCGTCAGAGTCCACACAAAGAAGCAAGATAAAGCATTGGAAACAAGGGAGCAGGATAGAGAGCCACAACACATTCCTGAGGAAGAAGCAGCTTTAGAACTCCCTGATAAGGAATTCAAAAGAATTATATTTAGGTACCTTCTATAGATTGAGAGAAAGATCAAGGAAAACACTGACAAAAATTAAGGAAAGCACAGACAAAACCCTAGAATTATTTTGGAAGAAATACAAGAACAAAATGACAAAATAAATAAAAAATTAGAAATGGTACAAAATCTGCAGATAGAAATCCAGAAGATTAATACTAAATTTTCAGAAATAGATAGCACATTGAAAGGGCAAAGGAGTAGAACAAAATCAATAGAAGACAGAATTAATGAGGTTGAAGACAACCTGAATACTTCTTTGGGAAAGGATCAATCAGGAAAAAGATCAAAACAAAATGAAGAAACCCTAAGTTTCATGTGGGATACCATCAAAAGGAATAACCTATGTCTAATAGAAATTCCAGAATAGGAAGAGAAAAAGAAAACTACTGAGAAAATTTTCCAAGATTTGTTTGAAGAGAACTTACCTGATATGATGAAAGATGAGAATATATCCATTCAGGAAGTCCAGCAAACCCCAAACAGGATAGACTCCAAAAGAAAATCACCAGGACATAACATCATCAAACTCACCAAAATCAAAGACAAAGAAAGAACCTTGAAAGCAGCGTGAGAAAAACAAAAAGTTGCCTACAAAGGGCAACCAATAAGACTAAGCTTGGATTTCTCAGCAGAAACCATGCAGGTGAGAAGGCAATGGGA